ACTTAGTTAGGGTAGGACGGGATGGTGACCGCCTCCACCACTTCTACTGGAGCCATTTTCTACTTCATCATCTAGTCTAGAAGAGCCGATTGTGTCAATGGTTTTACAAGAAAAAAAAAGACTGATAAACTAAAGTCCAATGAGCACTTTAGTGATCACATGATTAACAGGTAACCTGGCTTTTATAAGTTGTGAAGTGTGACCTCTTCAATAGGTAATTACTGACGGAGGTGTTTGGTTAGTTGGAAGAATTGCAACAATTACAACAAAATTTATTGTTGCGGTCAAATTGGGCCCCTTCGTGCTTGTTGAGATGCCCTTCGGAGGGCGGATTAGAGTTGCCACAACAAAAGTTGCTACTTCTCCCGCCCAAAGTGGCAACACCGCGGCTTGATTGTACAACGCCATCGACGCGCGTGATTGTACCATGGCTTGGGACTTTACGGCCTCTCGGCAGAGGTGTTTGCACTTTGCCCATTCTATTGCCCACAAAGGTGTGGAATTAGTGCCCCCTTTTGAAATTTCTTTGTGTCACTCACTCTCTAACAGGCGCTGGTAGATGGGTGAGGCGAAAGTATACCAATGCAAAACCCTTTGCCATCCCTCACCAAGAGCCTCCACCATGTGCGTGAGGTGGTTTCTGTTACCGCTTTGCTACTTGCACACGTCTTTGCATCACATTCACGTCAATCAGTCATTGTCTGCGTCTTATTGTGCCTTTCATTTTTTTTCTTTTGCTTCCTCTCTCGCCTTAGATTCGCGATATGTACCCATTCTCCGTGAATGTCCCAATCTGCAGCGTTTTCTCCTCTTTGTGGTCTCTACTGACGTGCCAACGCTATGTGCAGCTCCGGCCAGCCCTCATCCTATGCACCAAATCTTTGGTCTCAACTTCGAGGCCACCGAAAATGGCGTGCTGAAGAGCGGTCCAGTTGTGGTGCCGGAGTCTTGGCGTTCTCTCTGTTCTTCCTTTTACTTCATACCGGTTAGCAAAACGTTACATTTCGCTTTAAGTGCTACCTTTCGCCAGTTAGGACCATTCATGATCTTCTTTATTATTATTATTTTTCTGCATCCTCTGGCATCCTTCCTTTGGGGACTTTTTATTTATTTGGAGTTGGTTTATTAGGCCCGTGAAGTTGGGACCTTTTGCTATTTACGTATACGTCTGCTGTTCCAGCCACAGTACAAAATGAGTAATTACAAGCCGCCCTCTTCACTCTACTATCATCAGACGGCATCTCTGGCCTTTGTTACCCCCAGCGACGCATTGGCACGCTTACCGGCATTTGACGAGGGACCAACTACCGGCTCGCCGATGTCAGCCAGTCCTGTTGTAACCGGTATGGAGTCGGCAGCGGCGGCGGAGGAGGCGGTATCGTTGGGCCCAACGGAGTCGCAGAAGGCCTGTGCCCACCTCCTCCAACGCCTCGCAGTGGAGATAATCGAGGCTGTGCTTGCTTATGAGGCGGAACATCACTCCTAAATTCCAATCCCACCTTTTCACTCCCTCTGTGATACTTTCTCTCCCGTCTGCACTCCCTTCCGCCGCCTTACTTCCCATCAACCCATGTCATTTAAATCAGTCAGGATAGAGGTGAAGAACGATGCTCTACACTGATAGTTTTCTTATCGTTTTGTGTGTTCATTGGTTTGGTTACAATGATGACCGTTGTTTCTTTGCTGAAAGTGTGGCTGTTTGGTTAAAGCTAACTTTACATCACCGTGTGAGAAGGTGGTTCTCCTCCAGCATAGTATTCTTTAAGTTTGAAAAT